GTTCAACAAACATCCATTTGATGCCTATAGTCAGCAAAGCATCTGGAGAAGACCCGTGGGGTATTCAGAGAGAAGTTGCATTCCTGGGCCTGCGAGCGCTTGGCTCCAAAGGGGCCAAGGACTGGATATGAATGAAATGAGCACGAGGGTATAAACTGCCCCAGCATGGGATGATCCCCAGGACTGAGGAACTCTGGGGGAGATGCCAAATTGGAGAGCCTCAAGGAAGGGGCAGGGCTTCAACCTGGCCAAGTGTAGGAGGAAAGGCACTCTGGTAGAAAGAAGAGATATGCAAAGTTGAGGAAGGAGAAGTCCTAGGCTAGCAGACTAAACCAGAGGTGGGGGCCAGTTCCCATCCTTTGCCAAGCCGGGGCCTGCCTCATTTCACTCTCCACAGGTCCCCTTGGAGGCGGCTACCATGACCTGCCCGCAGGTAAGGACACAAGGCTTCCAGAGCTTCTGTGGCCTGTCCAAAGTCGCACAAGATGGGGCATACGGCTGGCAGCTCCAGGAGATGTTCAGTGTTCTAACCCTCAGGTCTGGCCCGCTGGCTGGGGTAGCACACCCCACACCTATACCCCCACAGTAGCTTAGGACAGGAAGAGGAGCCAAGGGGAGGAAACGAGGGGAGAGGCAGAGGAAGCGCCGGGCACTCACCGCGGGAAGGTGGCCATGCGGTCTTTCAGAGCCTGCACGAACGGGAGGATCCAGTGATGCCGCAGCACCACGCTCTGGGACAGGCTGAGGTGGAATGCCTCCATCTGCACCAGCCGGGGAACATAGGTCTGGGCGTGGGGCAGCAGCATGTCCAGCAGATCCAGGAATTCCTCCCCGGTCTCATCTGGAGGGAAGAGTAGAGAGGGCGGGCCATTCTCTTAGCCAGGGCCGTGTGGCTGAATGAAGAATCCCAGAAGGCCGAGAAAGGCCTTCACTACTCTGGATTTTGGGGGAAAATTACTTTGAAAGCAGCCTAGCTCTATCTATTTTAATATATGATTTTGTGGTTATAGAAGTAACACACGTATGCTCATTGTAAAGAATTCAAGGAAAAAAAGGAAATATGCCAAGGAGAAAGCAGGGCCCCCCAAAATCCTATCACCTAGAGCATCGAGCAGTCTCCAAACTATTGTGATCACCTGGGCCATTAGTCAAACAAACTTGCACGCATATGTGCAACAAACGTGTATTTATTTATAAGTTACAAATGTGCATGTTACAAAATTATGTCCATTGTAAAAGGTACACTCTCGAGAATGGAAATTTTATTTTATTTATTTATTTATTTATTTAAAGTCTATTTATTTTTTGGTAATCTCCACACCCAATGTGGGGCTCGACCTCATCACCCCGAGATAGAGTCGCATGCCCTTTCGACTGAGCCAGCCAGGCACCCCAAGAACAGAAACTTTTAAAAGATGAGATGGGGCGCCTGGGAGGCTCAGTCGTTAAGCGTCTGCCTTCAGCTCAGGTCGTGATCCCAGCTCCTGGGATCGAGCCCCCACATCGGGCTCCCTGCTCGGCAGGAAGCCTGCTTCTCCCTCTCCCACTCCCCCTGCTTGTGTTCCCTCTCTTGCTGTGCCTCTATCTCTAAAAAATAAAAAAAATAAAAAATTTAAGAAAATTAAAAGATGAGATAAAAAGGGATATATAAAGAAGTTCTAATACTTTTCTTCTGGATGGATCATCTTGACCTCTCCCCCAGGGGGCATACACCCCACTTTCAAGACTGTCAGAGATGGATGCCTATCTCCCTAGCCTCTTCTCAGTGCATATCCTCGTGTATACATTTTATTTGTTGAAAAAATGAGAGTGTACCATTCAAACTGTTCTTCCACTGGCTTTTTTCTTTCTTTCTTTTTTTTAAAAAGATTTTATTTATTTATTGGTCAGAGACAGAGAGAGAGCATGAGCAGGGGGAGTGGCAGGCAGAGGGAGAAGCAGACTCCCCGCGGAGCAGGGAGCCCCATGTGGAGCTCGATCCCAGGACCCTGGGATCATGACCTGAGTCGAAGGCACAAGCTTAACCGACTGAGCCACCCAGGTGTCCCTTCCACTGACTTTCTTCATGTAACGCTACATGTTGGATAGCTTCCTCTCAGTGCAGAGGACAAGCTGATCATAGGTTCACAGTAATCCATAATCACCAACAGCACTTCCTTTATCAGTCACCTATTAGATGTTTAGAATCTCCTGATAAATGTTTAGAATGCTCCTAATTTTTCACAAAGACGAAGAACACTACAATGACCACCACTGTATGTTCACATATTCTTCTTCTTTTTTTTTAACCAAATGTGGGACTGGAGCTGCATGGGTAACGGTCTGTTCACAGCCAGGCTGTTAGTCAATTTGTTCCAATGCCCTGGTGAGTAGGCAGTACAGAGAATCATTCTCATTCTGTGGATGGGGAAATGGAGGCTCTAAGAGTTGACCTGATCGAACACAAAATACTAAGAGCCACCACCTACTCTGTGTATTGTGTTAAGAGCCTGACACAAATGATCTGATTTAATCTTCACAACAGTCCTAGGATATACGGATTTCTATAATCCCCATTTTAGAGATAAGGATACTGAAGCTCTGGGAAGTCCAGTAACTTACTAAAGGGTGCCCAGAGCACTGGGTAGTGAAGTGAGGTCTGACTCCGGCGCCTGGGCATTTTTTTGCCTGCCACTCACTCATGGGGGCTGGTAGGGGCGGGAGGGGGACCTGCCCCAGCACACCCAGGGCCCTCTCAGGAATAAACTGCCAGCTGCAGCCACACTCCGGGATGGCCTTGACACTGCCCTAGACCCTCCCTTGGTCACCTCATGAGTGGGAAAACATTATACCCAGGGTTAATTAAAAAAATATTTCAGGCAACGAATTCGAAACTTTTTGAAAACAGGTTTACAGGAAAAACTCCCCAATTCTTGAAACTTGTTCTCTCTCTGCTAAGTCCATCTCTCTCCTACCATCCATGTCAGAGGTTTCTGGCTTGTTCCTCCTGGTTGGGGCCAGCTTCCTCCCATCAAGAGGCACCTATCAAATCTCAGTCACCCGCCCTTTACACGTTACTCACATGGCACATAGACGTGGGTGGCCCAGTTGCCCCGCTCATGGGGGAAGGTGCGCACCCGGCCCCCGTGTTTTTCCCGGTCATCCTCAGGCTCCTCCTCGGTGTCTAGGAACATGTGCAGCACACTGTCGGGTACCGGCAACCTCTGGCTGGGAAGGGGGCTCTGGGTACTGCAAGAGAGAAAAAGGAAATGAGCACACTTAGCCTCCTGGCATTCTCCACCTCTGTGCCTACAGCAAAAGTCATAACCCCTTATCCAGGGTGACTGTACGCATCAATTTCCCACCAGGTGCTGGAAGCAGCTTTTAGATAACCACAAAGCTCTTTCCCCAGTACTGTCTCACTGGGGTCTCCCCACAGCCCCAGGAGGCTGACTTTAGCTGGGAGCATGGGAAACAACTGGGCAGGCAGCAGTGTGTTGTTCAGAGGTCACATTCCCTGAACAGTGGACAAGTGCTTCCGAGCTGTGGGGTCTTGAGCAAGTCATGTGTACTCTGTGGGCCTCAGTCTCCTCATCTGTAAAGTGTACTTTACCTGACAGAGCTATTGTGAGATCAACAGAGATACTACTGCTTGAAAGGCACTCTTCAAAGCACCAGGGGTGGCACTTGAGAACTGCAGCTCCACTAAGTCAGACTTCGACCGTTTCGTTCATTGCCGAGTGTCACAGCCTGGCGCAGAGCGGGTGCTCCATGAGCATTTACTGGATGGATGAAAACACCCTCCATATGTGGAAACAGACCTAGGGTGGTGCTGTGGTGCGCGCCAGGAGATCCTGGCGGCGGCCAGCGCTGGAGGGGGGACCCAAGCCCACGTTTCCTGCCTCCTAACCTTGGCCTAGCCAGGTAGGGGCACTCTGGGGCTGTGTCCAGGGCTGTCCTCCGGACCCTCCTTTTCCGCTGTACCCCTCTTTCTTCCCTGGAGAGCCGCTCCGCACCATCGCCCCTTTCCCTTCAGACGCTCGGGTTCCGTCGGGGTGTCGCGCGAACCAGCACCCTCCCCAGAAAGATCTCCTCGCTCCTTACCGCCAGCAGCCTCCAGTCCCCGGCCGCGCCTGGGCCCCGGCCTCGGCCTCGTCCTCATCCTCCGAGCCGCTGCTACTGTAGCCCACCAGGGGCGCCGCACTCATGGGGCCTCCTCCACGACAGCAGCCCGTAGCCGCGAGCGATCGCACCCGGAATTCGGCTACGCCGGAAGTGCCCTCCCGGGGGCGGGGCCCGGAGAAGCACCGCCTCGGGGCGGGGCCTGGAGGGGCGGGGCCCCGCCGGACTCGGGCGGGACTCTACACCCAGACCACGCTGCCTGCCAGCTCGCAGCGCCTTGACGGCTACCTGGCGCCTCCCGGAACCGCACCCCTAGCCTCTGTGTGCCCATTTCACAGATCGCTCTGGGCCCTGACCTCTCTGTACCCTCCTCTGTCAGCAGCCATCCGCGACCAGACCTCCTAGCCACGGACGGTCCCTGGGTCAGCGGTCAGCGCGCTAGACCCAGCGGAGATCCCTGTCCTCGAGGCCCGGACGGGATCAGAGGTCCGGGAGCCCCCTCCTCAAGCCGGTCCAGAGCCCGAGCTCCAGGGGCCCGTCTCCTAAGAGCAAGCTGAGCAATCAGAAGCGGGTCAGTTCCAGAAGATCAGAGGGTCTAGGAGGCCCCTCCTCTCAAGCGCGGGCGTCGGGTCTCAGGTCGGGTTGCGGGGGGAGCCCCCTCCGCCAAGGCCGAGCAGGTTGGTCGGAAGCCGGGCGCCCTCCCTGGTCCGCTGAGGCGTGCAGGTCAGGCAACTGGAGAGCCACCCTGCACGCCCGACTGTCCGACCCGGCCCGGCCGCGGGGTCCCCGGCAGGGGGCGGCCTCGCTCCGTGCCGCCCGCTCCTCCCGCAGCTGCCGCCGCCCCGGCTGCCGCTCCTCCCCCGGCCCCGCCTCCCTGGCCCCCGCGCCGCCCGCCTGTCCGCCGGTCTCTGCAAGGCCGTCGGTCCGTCCGCCCGCCCTCCCGGCGCTCCTCCGCCCTGGCCCCGCTATCCCGGCCACGCACGTCGCTTCCTCGGTTCCGGCCGCCGCTAGCCCGTTCCCCGCCCCCGGGCCGGCCGCCGCCGCTACTCGAGGCCGGGGATTGGCAGTGCGCGTAGGCCGCGCCGCCGCCGCTGGAGCCGGAATAAAGGGGCGGCCGAGAGAGCAGCCGGTCGCCACTCGCCCCGCGCCTGACCCCGCGGGCGGCCTGGAGCAGGTGAGCGGCGGGGCGCCCGGGGCTGCGTCTGGGGGCCACTCCCGCGCCCGCCGCACCCCTTCCCCAGCCGGCCCGCCCGCCACCACCACCACCTCCCCCCCCCTCCACCTCCGGCCCGACCTGGCGGCCTCCTGAGCTCTGGGGCGGCCCCAGGCCAGCCGGGGCGCGTAGCTACTAACCGGGCCCAGCCTGCGGCTCTGGGGCCTTCCTCGGGCCCAATCGCCCGCGGGGCCGGCGCTCCGGCCCGTAGCGGCCTGGCCGTTCCTGGTGAGGGCTGACAGGAGGCAACCCAGCCAGGCTGGCGGGCAGTGCCGGCGGGGAGGTGATCGCCTTTCATTCGGGTTCCCAGGGAGGAGGAAGGGCTGGCGTGGGGCGCAGGGGGGGGGCCTCCCTTTGCCTCCGTTACCCTGGTCTCTCCTCTTTGCGGAATGATCAGAGAGGCCTCCGGGTCGCACCTTCCTGGAAGTGGGCAGGGGTGGGCAGCTGAGCTGGGGGCCCAGGATCCGGGACCCTGGTTCTGGCAGCCATTCATACCGGAAAAAAAAAAAAAAATTCATCTGGGTTGGCTCATCCGGACCTAGACTGCGCTCAGAGTAGCCCCTCTTCCCTCTTTCCTGGGGAGGCTTCCTACCTGCTTGTTCATGCAACCTGCTGATTCCACTACGAGCAGCGGCTCCTTTCCTTCATTCCTTCCCGGAAGATGCTGTGGGTGACAGTTTTTCGCCTGACTCTCAGGTTTCTTTGGCAGAACAGTTAGAGGCAGGGCTGGCCTGTGAAGGCATCCCCTTTTTTTCTCCTCTTTCCCTCAGGAGAAAACTTAGAAACTTTTCAATGTTTGAGGCAGAGGAACTGGAAACCTGAAAGTGGGTTGCATGTAATTCTAAAAGTTCCTCCCTCTCGCTCTCATTACCTTCTGCTGCCACAAAGTGGTGAGTTAGAGATTTGCCTGGGCTGGGTGGTCTTTCCCTTCCATGGATTACCCAAAATGTTAGAGACTTGGAGCAAGGGAATGGGGTTGCCTCTGGAAAGGTTGTCTTTTCCAGGTGGTCCTGGGAAGAGGAGAAATGCTCTGTGCTTAGGATGTTACTTCCCACATTGCCGAGGCAAACTCCTGATTGCCCACTTTTTCCTGCGGGCCTTGGCACTGTCAGATTCAGAGGATTTAGGAGTTTTGGGTGCTCTGGGAGTTAACTGGAGCCCGGATGTTCTGTGGAGCCCTCCAGGCTGGGTGGGTCTATGGACCTATCATCGGTACCCCATCATACATTGGCTCAGGTCTCCGCAAGGCCATCCTAACAGTTGGGTGGAGGAAGAACAGGCACGTGGTCAGGAAAGAGGGCCTAGGGGTTAGTTGAGAGGGATGTGGGTCATCCCCTCACAAAATCAGTTTTTTGAGATGGTCCTCGGTTCCTGTAGTTGTTTTAAATATTGGCTGCCTGAGGCCGTTTGCTCTTAGGCCCTCAGGTCTGGGAGGTCTGGTTCTCGGTCTCAGCAGGCTGTTACCCTGAGCAGGGATGTCCTGGGTTGAGATTCAGGGCAGCGGGGGGAAGGGAGCTCGAAGGCCTTGGGGTGTCCTCCACCAGTGCCTCTCTGCTTTTATGTAATAACGTATTGGGCTTCCAAGTAAGAATTTTATTTGCAAAATAAGTTACGCTGCTGAAATCGGTTTGGACACCATGGGCCTCCCTCTTCCTTTGGAGCATGAGCAGAATTTATGACTTCTTTGTATTATGGCAGATCATGCCAGACCCTTATCTGTGAGACAGCTGGCTACAGAGGGCTGGCAGTAGGCTGGGGAGCCGGGAGGCTGTCTTTGCTGGAGGGGCTGAGCCACCAGCAGACTTCTTTGGTCGTGTGTGAAGAGAGCGGGTCTTCCAGCCCTGAGCCCCTCTCTCTTCCCTGATGTGGCAGCTGTGTGGCGAGTGTGGGCAGAACGGGGAGAGGGGCCCAGGGACCAGCCACGGATCTCGGCGTCAAGCTGACCGTTTTTCTCTTCCCTCCAGAACCAGTCATCGGGGAAGGCAGAGCCCCTCTGGCCTCGCCACCCACCCCACCCCCCGCCCGGGCACTCTGCCCTCGAGAGCCCCGCCTCCGGTAGGCAGAGCCTGGCAGTTCGTCTTGGTTAATGCCGCCAGCCGTCTGACCAGTACCCCTTGTGTGCCTCGTCTGAGGTTTTTGTCCATCCCTGATCCTGGGCAGCTTCTCTCTGGGCTGGATCACCTTCGGCGGGAAACTGAAGCCCTTACTCTCCAAGCCCTGTTTCGTCTTCCCAAGCATGTCAGAAAGCTGGCAGCAGCCCCCGCAGACGCAGCCCCAGCAGCCACCGCCGCCGCAGCCCCAGCACCACGCCGAGCCACCACCCGCCCTGGCCGAGCACGCGCTGCCCCCGGGCTCGGCTGAGAACCCCCTGGGCTGTGCCGTCTACGGCATCCTCCTGCAGCCGGACCCCGGCCTCCAGCCCCCGCAGCACGCACCCCTGCAGGCAGCCGGCGAGCCGGGCCCCAAGTGTGGCGTGTGTGGTCACGACCTGGCGCACCTGTCCAGCCCGCACGAGCACCAGTGCCTGGCGGGCCACGACCGCTCCTTCCAGTGCACGCAGTGTCTCAAGATCTTCCATCAGGCCACAGACCTGCTGGAACACCAGTGTGTGCAGGCCGAACAGAAGCCTTTCGTCTGCGGTGTCTGCAAGATGGGCTTCTCGCTGCTCACCTCGCTGGCGCAGCACCACAGTGCGCACAGCGGCGCCAGCGGCCTGGTGAAATGTTCCATCTGTGAGAAGACCTACAAGCCGGCTGAGGCGGCCGAGCCGGCGGCCACCGCCGCCGCCGCCGCCGCCGCGGCCACCTCCCTGCCCCCGGCCCCCGCGCCGCCGCCTCCGCCACCACCGCCGCCGCCGCCGCCGCCGCCGGCCGTGGCCCCCGCGGAGCAGGCCGACAAGCCTTACAGCTGCCCCATCTGCCAGAAGCCCTTCAAGCACCTGTCGGAGCTGTCGCGGCACGAGCGCATCCACACCGGGGAGAAGCCGTACAAGTGCACGCTGTGTGACAAGAGCTTCAGCCAGTCCTCGCACCTGGTGCACCACAAGCGCACGCACAGCTCCGAGCGGCCGTACAAGTGCGCCGTCTGCGAGAAGACCTTCAAGCACCGCTCGCACCTGGTGCGCCACATGTATGCGCACTCGGGCGAGCACCACCTCTTCCGCTGCAACGTGTGCGAGCTGCACTTCAAGGAGTCCTCGGAGCTGCTGCAGCACCCGTGCACACCGAGCGGGGAGCGGCCGTTCCGCTGCGGCGAGTGCCAGAAGGCCTTCAAGCGCCCGTCGGACCTGCGGCAGCACGAGCGCACGCACAGCGCCGAGCGGCCCTTCAAGTGCGACCTGTGCCCCATGGGCTTCAAGCAGCAATACGCGCTCATGCGGCACCGGCGCACGCACAAGCCCGAGGAGCCCTTCAAGTGCGGCCTCTGCGAGAAGGGCTTCGGGCAGCCCAGCCACCTGCTCTACCACCAGCACGTGCACACCCTCGAGACCCTCTTCAAGTGCCCCGTGTGCCAGAAGGGCTTCGACCAGTCGGCCGAGCTGCTGCGGCACAAGTGCCTGCCGGGCGCCGCCGAGCGGCCCTTCAAGTGCCCCGTGTGCACCAAGGCCTACAAGCGGGCGTCGGCCCTGCAGAAGCACCAGCTGGCGCACTGCTCCGCCGCCGAGAAGCCCCTGCGCTGCACCCTGTGTGAGCGCCGCTTCTTCTCGTCCTCGGAGTTCGTGCAGCACCGCTGCGACCCGGCGCGCGAGAAGCCGCTCAAGTGCCCGGACTGCGAGAAGCGCTTCAAGTACGCGTCAGACCTGCAGCGGCACCGGCGGGTGCACACGGGCGAGAAGCCCTACAAGTGCCCCAGCTGTGACAAGGCCTTCAAGCAGCGCGAGCATCTCAACAAGCACCAGGGGGTGCACGCCCGCGAGCAGCAGTTCAAGTGCGTGTGGTGCGGCGAGCGCTTCCTGGACGTGGCCCTGCTGCAGGAGCACAGCGCCCAGCACAGCGCCGCCGCGGCCGCCGCCGAGGGCGCCTACCAGGTGGCCGCCTGCCTGCCCTGAGTGCGGCCCTGAGTGCAGCCCTGAGTGCGCACCTCCGAGCGGTCCCCACCGGGCCCGGCCCGCGCGCGGCCAACTGGGCCCTCCCCCCACCCCCCCGCCGCCCGGCTGGGTGGTCTGAGGACCGAGGGCGCCCGCGTAGCCGTGGTGGGGGGGAGGGGAAGTGGGGGTGCCTGGCGCTCCTGGTACCGGCCTGGAGGGAGGGGGTGGGGGGAGCCAGATTGCTGTGGCTGGCCCTGATCCCACAAACCTCTTTTCCATTATAGGATTCCTTTACTTGAGAGCCATCAGCCTCCCTTGTCTCTGGGGCCCTGGAACCAGGCTGGAAGTCAAGTGGCCTCCCTCGACCCCAAGGAGGGATTGGTGCCAGCCCTACCTTCCCAAACTTTTCAGCCTAATTAGAAACCAGATTGGTTAGGAAAGAGGATGGTCATGGTCGGGCCTGGGAGAAGGGCTGGATCCCATAGGTGGGCCGGATGTAGGGCATCCTCCTTCAGGTCGCCGTTTGAGGGAGCAGGCCAGCTTTGTGATGTAGTCCTGGGGACCAGGAGGGCAGTCGGTGAGGCTGAGCCGCAGGCCTCTCTGCTCCAGCTGGGGCCGGTGTGGCCTCCCGGGTTCCGCCAGGGAGACATACAGGACGGCTGCACATCTGTGAGCTGGGTGTGCCTGCAGAGAACCGGCCCAGCTAGAAGGGAGGAGGCAGAGAAGCTCTCGTGTGACACACTCAGCCAGGGACAGTGCCCTCCACAGGGAAGGGAGGAAAGGCAGCTTTTGTACTGAGGGGTAATCCTGCTGTTCGGAAAGTGCCCCTCCTACCTTTGCAGCATGGTTCCAAGCTCTGGGAATGTGTTCTCGGCCAGACCGAACTACTGATGAGAAAGAAGGGGATTGTTAGACCACCTTGGTGCCTGGGAGGAAGCAGGGCCAAGTCCACGGTCTTACCAGTGGATGCAAACAAGTGTCCTCCCCCTTGAATGTGTGAACCAAAGTGTCAAGGGCGCGACTCCAAACAGCTTGCCCCAGCTCTCCTTCTGGGCCAAGACCGGGCCTGGGCACCCAGGGTGGGGGTGGGGGTGGGGGTGTTAAAGGACTCTGACTCCACAGTGCTCTCCCAGCCCCTGGGAACCTTCCCTGTCAGTCTGGCTCCTGGCCTGGACCCCGGGGTCTTGCGCTGCCAAGATGGCCTGGACATTATCCAGTGACTTCCAAGGCTAGAGATCGTCTCTGAGGTCCTCCTCGGGTCCCTGTAGGTCTCTGCCTGCCCACCGGGGCTCATGGAGTCAAGGGTGTCCAGGGCAATAGGGAGCAGGCCAGGGCAGAGGGTTGTTAAGGGAGCTGGTAGGTGCCTGGAGTTGACTGAGATCACTCGCCAGTGGGGGCCCTCCTGGGGAAGCCCGAAGGACCTTTATTATCAAAATGATTCTTGTGGACCCAGCTGTGCCCCTGCCCTGCCCTCTTCCAGCCTTCCTTAGGCGTGGGTCTGGAAAGACTAATCAGTGCTTGCACCAAGGGCCCAGAGGAGCAGGGAGGGCCTTGTCTCGCTCCCACCTCGGGAAGGCTGAACAGCCCACATCCGCCTCCTCCTCTATGGGACCCGGCTCCCTTCCTGTGCTTGCAGAGAGGGGCCGGTCCTTCCCCTCGGTGCTGGCTCTCAGTCACAATGCCTCAAAAGACATGGAACCCAGGCCGACAACAGGCCCAACTGCAAATTTTTCCCTTTCCTTTTGCTTTCTAAAAGCAGTTGTTATACTGTTCATAACATTGTATAGTTTAATTTCATGTCATTTTGGATCTTATATAAAAATGTGAAAATTTGGATTTTTAAAAAGAATGACTCCATTTTAGATAGCCCCTTTTGATGTTAATATATAGTGAGTCCAATGTATGCTTTAGAAGTAAAGACATTGACCATCACAGACCAAAGCTCTGCTTGTTCTGGTCATTCTTCCCCTGGGGGATGATGGGGCATGGAGGGAGAGACAGAGGGGTACAGGCTCTGGTGGCAGGCTTGGGATCAGGACGTGAGGCTGGGTTCAAATCCCAAGTTTTGAATGTTCTGGTCATGTGACTTTGGGCAAGTCACTCAACCTCTTTGGGACTCAGTTGCCTCCCTTGCCTTGCTTAGTGGCTGTGAGGATTCATGACGTTCTGTATGGAGGCCCGGGGCTTGGGGGGAAAGCTGTGAAGGTGCTGACAGTCCTCGGGGCCCCAGGGGATAGGCTTGCGGTCTCCTGCCCTGCTGGAGTTCTCACTGCAGCCCCGGCGGGAGGGAGCTGGGCTGGGAGGGACACGCAGCTTGTGGATGGTGAGAAACCGCAGCCCGGCCTGGTAAGCATGAGTGCTTACTCCGCCCCCGTGGGAAACCAGGGCTTGCCCGGAGCAGCAGTGGCCCCAGCCAGGTGCCCTGCCCCAGAGGGCTGCCTGCTCTCAGCCCACTTGTACTCACCCCTTCCCGTCGCCATCCATCTGCGTGTCCAGCCAGCCACCTCCCTCCTTGGCCTTCCAACCCACCTTTCTGTTCCCTGCCCCAGGCCCCCAGTGGGCCAGCTGTGACTCAGGCTCCTTCCATTTTCTCGAAGGCAGGGGCGCAGGCGGGGAGAGGGAGAAACAGCCTCCCCAGGCCAGGGGAGGGTGGTCAGCACCTTGCCCCGGAGGTGGGGGTAGGGAGGGTAGAAAGTCAAGAGGACAAGGAGCTGCCCATGCCACAGGGGGGCTCAAAACTGGGTGCAGACAGCTAGTGGAAAGGCTAAGGGGGACTGACTTCCTCTGTGTGTGCCCCTGGGAGGACCTCCCTTGAGGAGCCGTGTGGTCCCTTCCTGCAGGTGTCCACTTGCCAGCCGGAGGACGCCCAGGGCCCCTCGTGTCCGTGCCAGGCTTCGATCCTGCCTTCCTTGCTAGCTGAGTGACCTTAGGCAAAACCCACACACCTTGCAGAGACTCCTGGAAAGCACTGGCGTGTGTTTGGTGCTTTCTAGCTTCAGGTTGCCCTTCCCGAATGTTCGATGGTCTTCGTGTGCATGGGGCAGGAGGAGCCCCGGCGGGGCTGAGCTCACACGGAGCCTACAGTGACATGCTTTCGCTCTGTCTCCATCCTCTCCTCTTACAAAGCTCCCACCTGGCCCTCTGCCTCTGGGCTCCAGCCTGCGCCCCAACCAGGGCAGTGAGTGGAGCCTGGATGTTCAGGTTCAAGTCCTAGCCTTTTGATAAAAAGTGACCCCAGGCACTTGTTATCTGCCCCTCTTGGGGGCCTCAGTTCCCCATCTGAAGCAGAGGTCTTGACCCTGATCTCTAAGGGCCCTTAGAGACCTGACGCTCTGATTCTGGGAGGGTGACAGGATCAACCTGTGTCTTCTTCCTCTCCCTGCCTCCGCTGGCCTCCAGCCTGTGGTCTTCCTGTGTCAGTCTGGCTTCAGCTGTAAGCGACAGAAGTGGCGAAGACTGGCTTGAGCGGCTGACCACACCGCCCACCCACCCGCCCAGGAGCCCCCACAACCTCCTGCGTCCCACGGCTGATGTGAGTCTCCCTCTTGTAGAGCAGAGCATTTTCACCAGGGGACTTGGGACGCTGTGACGCGGGGCGTAAAAGGAGGTAGTATTCTACCTCCTTTAGTCTTTGGGGAATCGTGCTTTGCCCCAACCACTGACACGTAGGAAGAAGGTGGTACCTTGGGGTGAGCCGTGACATCGGGACGACAACCAGAGCTGGGGAGGATCAAGAGACAGAGGAGGACAGAAGCTTCCCGCTTCGGAGCTGGTAATTCGGGAGGGTGAGGGCACAGTGCAATGGTCTTTGTGGAGGGTTGGGCACGTCGTGGCCACTCGGGAGAGCAGAACAGTCGGAGGTCAGAGGCCAGAGGGGGCTGCCCTAACACTTCCCTCTGAATGTCGGGGCTCTCCCCACCCCCACCCCGACACCCCATTCATAAGCCCTGTTGCCTCCACCCGCTGGTCAGAGCCTCCTACCAGGAGGGCAGGGCAGGGCAGACATGAGTAGTATTCCCTTTGGGCTGACGCTTGAGAAGTCCTGGGGCTGCCCAAGGCCACGCATTTGGTGGTGAAGGAGGCCTGGAATCGTGGGGGCTGGCCTGGTGGGGAGCACACAGAGGGGATGGGTCAGCCCTGGGCTCTGAACCTCCCAGGCCCCCAGCTCCGGCCACTGAGGCCTGGGGCTCTGGTTCCAACCCACTTTTGGTGGGCCAGGAAGCTGGGCACAATGGCTGGGCCCGGTGCCGGCGCCCGGTCCGGCCAGGGGGCGGGAAAGCCCTTCACCAGCTGGCAGAGGGGGCGGCCAGCCCTCCGGTGGGCCCTCGACTCCTTGAGGGATTAAAGCCGCCGGGCTCTGTGTCCCCATCTGCGCAGAGGCGGCTCCGGGAAGAGCCGAGACCTCCTCAGACGCCTCTGTGGAAGTTTTCTGTCTCCAGTCCTCCATCCTGACCTCCCGCCTCCCTACCTCATTCCCTCCTCCCGAGCAGGCCTCAGTCAGGCCCCCCGGCTGCTCCAGCCTTGGACGTTGGCCCCGGGGCCTCCCAGGCTGGGCCAGGCTGGCCTGTGATAAGCTCCACATCCCATCCTCAAACGGGGGATTTCTTTGTTCCTTGAAGGTCATGCCTCCAGGAAAAGTCTTGGCTGCTATTGATTGTCACAAATCTACAAAGATTCCAGGCCCGGAATGCCCAGTCCTCCTCAGGTCCCTGAAAAGGAGGTCAACGGGAGGGGTGGGAATAGGGGGTCCCCACGGGGGTCTCCCTCTTCCCTGTGTGTGCTTCCCCAACCTAGGTCTGCATTCCTGCCTTTGTTCATCCACGAGCTGGTGCTGCGGGGCATGCAGCTAAAACTTTAGAGGAGAGAGGTTTGAGGTTTTCGTGTATCAAAAGGTAAGGTCGGAAATGTCAAAGCTTCTGATTTTTAGCACAAAAGTTTACATGTGAGTCCTCCCTGACCCTCACCTCACCCCTGATCCATCCCCATTGCCAGCCCCAGGCCCTGGGTGAGGATGTATTTGGTGTGTTACTTTGTCATGAACACAACTGTTACTTTGTAGTAGTTGTTTCATTTAGTCTAGATCTGTGTGTGGGTTCTGGGCGGCCCCAGGCCCCATTCCTGAGCCCCTGTGTTCACTCAGAGAGGTAAAGGGAGCCTCCAAGTGCAGTATTTCCTTAGAGCCAACTGTGGGCCAGAGGCTAGGAGTTTGTTCTGTAGTATCGGGGAAGATTGGGGGTGGGGGTGGGGGTGGGTGGGGAGGGAGCACTTGAGAGAGGCCTGCCTGGGAGAAATGGTGGGATTTGGGTTGGAAGTGATGGGAAAGGCATTTTAGGGGGGAGGAAGGCTTTGAACAAAGGTGAGGAGGCAGACAAGAGCCTGGGTGTTCAGAATAGCAAGGAGGCTGGTGGGGAGAATTGTGCGGGGCAATGCATTGAGGCCCAGGGCCAGGGATGTGGATTGGGGGACCGACCAGGAAGACCTGTGGGTGAGGCCGTGGAGGCTGGACTGTCCCCAAGGTAGTGGCCATAGGGAGGATTTCTAATGATCTATTTATGATGAGTAAAGAGTCCCCTGAGGCTGAGGAGACTTTGAGGCCAGGAGACAGTGGCCCAGGCTAGGTGGGAGTAGGGCTTCTTCCCATCTCTTGGCCTCTGTGTAGAATTATCAGATGTCCCCACCCCCAGGAAGCCCCCTCTGGTTTCCTCCCCACTCTTGGCTTGTATCTCTCTCATGGCAGGAAGGCAGTGGCATGTGGTGGCTACTCAAGCTCAAGGGTCAGGTAGGCTGGCTTCAAGTCCCAGCTCTGCCAATCACCAGCAGTGTGACCTTGGGCCAGGCACTTAACCTCCATTTCATCACCCATGAAATGGGCCTAAAATCACCCACCTCATGGTGTCTGAGAAGTGTTTAATACATTATCTTACGCTTAAAAAATAGAAAGTGGTAGGGTGCCTGGCTGTCTCAGTTGGAAGAGCATGGGACTCTTGATTTTGGGGTCCTGAGTTTGAGGCCCGTGTTGGGCATAGAGATTAATTAAAAATAAATTATTTAATTAAAAAAAAAGAAAGTACATACTGAATCAGGCTTGTTAATGCTCATCCACTCTGCATTTGCTTTATTCTTGGATACACATTTTTAGGTCTACGGAGTCAGGATTCAGTGTACAATTGGTGAGCAAGAACCTAATTACATTGCTGGTGTGGGTTACCGTACCTTTCAGTGTCTTGGGCTTGAGGAATGTGGTCTAGGTGTGCCCACATTCTCACCTTCTGCTTTCAAGTTTGAATCAGCTGGGCCTGCCTTCCTCCTCCTGTACGGGGAGCACCTCCCAGGAAGGGAGGGCGTCTGGTCTGTGTCCTTCCTGCACCCAGCATGGGGCCGGGTAAGCCTCAAATGTCTGCTGGGCCAAATTCCCGGAGGGCCTTGCCCAGTCATTCAGCGTCAGGGAAGCAGGGCCAGGAAAAAAAAACCCAGGCACTTGATTCCCTCTGGTACATTGAGGCATGCTCTCGGGCTGTCCCAGGCCCACACAGGCCAGGACTCGACTCCAGCATCCCTGCTGTGAAGGGAGCCTTGGGCAGATATATCCCTTCTCTGAGCTGTCATGTTGGAGGAGGCACTCAGGTTTGCAGGATGTGGCTCTGATACCCCAAGAGGTTCTGCCAGGGACTTCCTGAGGTTCAAGCAAGGTGGACTGCCCGCTGGGCTTGGAGGAAAGCGTTTCTTCCTGCATGAAATGGCAGGAAGCTGGATACCTTCTCGATAGGCCCCCAAGGAAGAAGGGGCTCCATGATCTGTTTACCACTCCCCATCTGCTCCTCCCCATGCTCCTGCTCTATTGTCAGCAGAACCCCACCCTTGAGGACAGAGAGACAGACACCATGGTCCCTCACCTCCGTATTAGGATAGTAACCATCACCTCCACCCCTAAA